ATATATATATATATATATTGATATATATATATATATATCAATAAAGAATTGCCTATCAAAGATAAAGTACATTTTCTGTTTCCCTATTTCTATGAGCTTTGATTAATATGGAAACTGAATACTTGTGTCACCTTTTCAGACCAATAACTTCAATTTCATTAAACTAAATACTTGTATCGTCATCCTCAGAAATACAAGACTGTCAATCAAACTACCAAACAATTTGGGCATAAGTGATATTCTTAGCGCTTCCCAGTTAATTATCGCCGCTCTTCCAGCCATGACTGCTACTAATTAATTTGATTCGTCCAACTGACCAAAACAAATTTAACTTTGTAGAAGAAAAAAGGGTGTCTCAGTTTTGAGCTTTCAGAACTTTATTGACTAAAACTAATAGAACTTTACGTCAACATTTCGGGATTTCATCCAATGCATTACAGCCAATTCCAATTTTCCACTAATTTACCGATATATGAATTCAGAAAAATTGATGAACCAAAGCACATGATTCCATACCTTGGGGCGTTTATCAACAGAGAACTTAATAATTGTCTCAAAAGGAAACTTCACTGCATCCCAGTCCTCCAGTTGACAGAAACCAATCAGAAACCCCAATGATTTGATCACAGACCGCACGGTTGCCGTCGATACAGTTTCTGGCGGTCTATTTAGTAGCTTAACAAGTACCGTCACGGCCTCACTCGCCTTCGACGGGGGCAGCGATTCCGGCGGAACAAGCGGAATCAAAATGGAGAGTAACGAAGATAGAGCAGCGATAGCATCGGAGTCTAGAGTCTCAGAAGCATCGTTAATAGCTGTTATAACTGCAGCGAAATAGGCAGGTGGAGTAAAGGGGAGACCTTCGTCTTGGAGCATGGCTCTCATGGCGGCCGCAGAAGCGCAGAGATGACGGTGCTGAGGAGCGGAGGATTTACCATATCGTTCCATTAGTCTCTGACAGAGGTCTGTATTTCCGTCGATGGTACCGTCTGCAACTTCTAGCTCTTCTTCATCTTTGCCTTCCATGGCATCTATGTCTTTTGCTGGTCTCTTTTTCATTGTTACTGAAGAGCTCAACACCTCAACTTCAACGTTTTTGGCGGCTGGGAAGCTTAGAGTTCGAAGTTCGAATTTGCTAATGGCTTCCAAGGAAAGGAGGCAATGAAAAGGAGTAGAGAAAGAAGTATTTCAGTATTAAACTCTTCAATACCAATGTTATTGTCTATAGTCGCGGTAGGGCTGCCAACGGATCAAAACTAATCGGATACAGGTAAATCCAATTATCCAGATTTTTTATTATTGTTAGGTTTCTAGCATATAAAAGCAACTTTTTGCCCTAAATATCAATAAAAGATAATATTTTTATAAAATAATTAAAGTAAGTAACTTTTAGACAGTATGTACACTTAGCTCCAATCAGCTTGATATACATTATGACATTTATTATAAATGAATAAAGTATATATTTGATTCATGTTATATTGGTGTGTTTAGATTATTATAAAGTATATATTATAAATGAATAAAGTATACATTATGACACTTATGAGACTCATGTTAGTTTATAATTTTCACAGCCGTTGAATAGATTTTAGAAGATTTATCCTGCCAAGGCTAACACTAATGTACTGCCAAATGGGTTGGGGTGGCTTGTCTCAGCTACCAAGGTGAGACGTGAAGCACATGCAGTGTGGGTTTGCTTGAAACTCTAAAATCGGACCATTTTCTAGTTATACCTTGGGCCTTGGAGATAGATGGGCAAAACTGGAAAGTTACACCTGACCCCTAGACTCGATTATGGTACTGCACTAGGTATCGGATTGGGCTGCCTTTGATATGCCAATCAATGAAATCCTTAGAGGGAGTCAAAACTTGGGTATGTTGGGGCAGTATGAGAATTCATCTGAGTAGACAATCATAGTGACAGGATCAACCCTTTTGTTGGACAAAGTGAATAATCAGGGAATGCACTCTCTTTAACGAAAACCTAAACTGTCGGTAGTTGATTTCAAACTTGCTGAGATTTGTTTTTGCAAAATATGTTTATATAGAGATATACATATATATTATGGTTTCACAAATTGCTTGTAAAAGGTTCTTATTCTCGGGATCCATGTGAGTAGAGAGTGCAACACTGTACCTTGCAACCAAGGGAAAGGTCATCTATTATCGGGTAGTGTTTGATCATTGAGCTGAGAGGTTAAGTATAAGACCATTTAGGGATAATAAACCTGATGGTCTAATCTCACATAAGTCCATAGTCCTTGGGCCTTCATAAGGTGGCTGAACTCATTGACCATTTAGTGTAAATGTTATGTCTGCTAAGAGCCCATGTTGATGGATCAGGGGTTCACTGTCTTTAGTAGTGAATTTGACTAAGCCTTGTAACAGATGTTAGGCTGAACCCGTATGGCTTTTGTGGAGATCAATGCTAGAGTCCCACACTATACAAAGATAATCAAACTAGCCAGCATTCAATGTGAAAGTGAGCTATGTGATTAAATGGGCCTAAAGCCCATTTCGAATTGGGCTTAAGTGATTTAATTAAATGGGCGAATTATGTTTTATAATGTGATTAGGATTAGCTAAAAGATAAGATAAGTCTTATCCATTTAAGAGGCCATATCCAGATAAAGATTAGGATCAAAAAACTTTTTCCTAATTCGATTAGGAAGCTAATCCAAAGAAGGTTACAAATAAGAGGGTGAATTCTTCTTAAAGAGGTAATTCTTTCTGCAATCTTTTTCTCCCTCTACTCTTGCCGTCGTACCCAGTTCAATTTCCACCTCCTAGAGTGATCAAGAACCGTTCTTAATATTGTTTATTGGTAGAAGAAACAATCTAAAGTCATGCTCACGTACTCCCTACTCAATTCTTGGTGAAGAATCTGGGTTTGGTGAAGAACCCCTTTGTTAATCCTACCTCAACATAAGCTGTGTCATTTTTAGTGAATGTGGGTTTTGGTGACTTCTTTGGGCGTAAATACCTACATTGGGAGGAGTTTTTGCATGGATTATGTATCAGGTATTCATCTCCCTCTTTTGGTTTCAAATCAGGTCCAGTTTGTTTCAAAAACGAACATTGAAAATGCAGTTTTCTAAATTAAGGAATAGGATTCCTAAAAGGGAGAAAAAAACTTTTTTGAAAATTTGCCCAACCTCTCTGCAAAATTCGACCATCCATATGATGAATCTCCTTCCCTTCAAACTGTCGTTAGTGGCTTTTGTAGATCTGCGATGGTAACTTGGTTTTCCAAACCATGGTAAGCTGTGAAGGGGCAATACCGTCATTAGTGGCTTTATCTCAATTCGACACGACTCGCTTTGTCTCAATCCAGTCTATTTGGATGAATACAGAGGTAGAGGAAAAGGAAGATGATGAATAGTGTCATTGCCCTTCCTTGATATTTTCATAAAAAGTTGCTCTATTTTTGTTATTTTATAAAAATATTATCTTTTATTGATATTAGGGCAAAAAGTTACCTTTATTTGCTAGAAACCCTTGTTTATATTCAAATTCGGATTCGAAACAAATTCGGACTACATTTCGATTTTTCTAAATATATAGCATTCATCCATTGCTCATTAGTTCCGACTTGATTATCAAGCTTTGAATTTTTTACGTATATTCGACTCAAATAACAAGTTATTTGAGTTTGGTTTAGCTTGAGTTGATTAAGAATAAATTAATATTCAAAAAATATTAAGAAATTCAAATAAATGTTATAAATATATATATTATGAAACTTGATTATAAATTTATTATTTTATTTATGTTATAATTAAAAATATATTAAAAATAATATTTTTATAAGCATAATTAGGCTCACAAATGACTCGAGTGGGATTAGTTGCATTTGATGGTCCATGTTAGGAGCGGATTTTTCTAGGGCTTCGTTCGCTTTTTGATAAATTACTTACCCGGGTAAATGTATTTACCTAGGAAAGACTTACCCAAGTAATTGCATTTACCCATGTTCTTTTATTTCCCATGTAAATGAGGCAATGCTTATTTTAGCCATAAAAATCCAATATTAAAAGGGGCATTTTTATCCCATTCAAGTGTTGGCAACTTTTATCCCAAGTGGGAAAGTTATTTATCCACCTAGGAGATGGGTATCACTTACTAAACTTTCCCTAGTCCCCATATAAATCTAGAAAACAAACATGGGTTTCTTGGTCAATGGGAATCCCATTGACCAACTTTCCCCTTATCAAAATCGAGAACAAGAACGCCTCCTAGGAGGTAGAGTAGGGAGAAATTAGAGGCTACTTACAATTGAGGGGTAACCCTTCCCCAAGCATCACAAAGTGACAAAGAAACAATAAAGTAGAAGCTTAAAAATAAAACAACAACAACAATGAGCCTTACATTGGGAACATCTCCCTTGTAAGGACCATGCCATGGTAGTTGATCTAAACTCAACTTCATGACCCGCCCAAGCTTCTTCCATAGTGATAGAATTTGAACCAACATCTTTTCTAACCATGAAGTAAAATTTTCATCGCGATCTCTTGCCACCACACCTATGTAGGGGTGTCCATGAAAAATCGAAAAATCGAACCGTAAATTGCGGTTAACCGAGCAGGTCGGTTCAGTTTCAGTTCAGAATTTTTGAAAAATCGAAGGACCGATTCAGTTTTTGGTTAACCTATAAAAAACCGACGATTAATCAAATTGACCGATATATATATTTATATGTATATTTTATAAATATTTTTAATATATGTCACATATTTTCTATGTATTTTATATAAATATATATTCATTATATATAAATATATACTTATATTTTATTTATAATGATCTATTTTCAAATATATTATATATTTTTAAAATATTTATAATATATTATATATCATTTATTATTTATAATATAATATTATACATATATTTATATGATATATATTATAAATATAAAAAATCGAAAAACCAAAGAACCGAACCAGTCAAAAACTGAAACCGGTGGACCGATTAACCGGTGGTACCGGTTTAGTTTCGGTTTGGCGAAATAAAAAACTGGTACCACCGGTTCGGTTTACAAAAAAGGGCCATGGTTCGGTTAACCGAACCGTGGACACCCCCTACACCTATGGTACACATCATTTTTTTTCTTGGATGCATTGGATTTTATCTTCACTTCACTCCTATTAGGAAATTTCTATCAAACTTGAATGAATTTGTTTGAAGAGCATGGTTAAGGATCAACATCTAGCTAAATAATGAAAACTCCACAAAGCTTGACCTAACTTTATTGATGATCATCAACGGAAGTATACTAGAATTACTGAAAAATCTTGTTATTTTATTTTTCCAAATATGTCATTATAAGGTCATCATGCAAGAATTTTTAAGTATTCTCACTCTCATGAGGTCTACAAGTGATTAGATCCATCATTGACTAAAACTAATGAGCAATTTGACATTTAGTAAAGATATAATTAATATCATCATCATTACCACAAAAGGAACAAACCACATTTTTTGGTAGTACCCATTACTCTTAATCTTACTTTGCTCAAAGTTTGTCTTGAGGAGAAACATAAAATATTTTATCTTAAGGTGGACACTTTAATTTCTAAATTAGAGGATGTGTAGTTGTGTACTATTTCTCAAAGAATAATCCTCTTTTTTTAGTAGGGAATAAACCGGTCTTATCTTAAACTTGCATTTATGGTTAGCTCGCCAAATCAGTTCATTCTCTATCATTTAATGGGAAGATAATAGATTACTAAAGACTAATTCTAAAAATTTCTACTTCTTTTATGAGTGACTAAAGCATTTAATAAATTATTCCATCACATCTAAGGTATTTATTTTTAATGACTTGAACACAAAGGTTATTGAGTTGGTGTCAGCACCTGATTTTTACTAATAAATTATTCCATCACATCTCAATCCGCCGCTTGTACCCTCCAATTTACCCCACACACTCAGTCAGACCCATCCAACCTCCTTGAAACACCCAAAAGCCAAATTTCACCCCATGAACCCTCAGATCCATCGGTAAACCTTCCCGATACCTACCCAATGGACCTTATCAACCCTCACATACACCTTAGACATTAGATCAGATACAACCATCAGACTCAGGACCTCCTAAAACACCTACCCATGAAATTTCAACTCAAGATTCCTCCATTTACCCTTAATTATACCAAGATTCCATTTCAA